AAATAAACTAATAAGGAAAGTATGAGAAATAAAAAGGAATATGAATAAGGAATAATGAGATATAGTTGATTAGAGGAGTGAAAAAGTTATAGGAAAATACTAATGCAAGGAAAAAAGAAACTTTACACAAAATTAAAATGTGTCTTATCCTCTTCAGATACGGAATGTGAAAGTTAACTAATACTTTTAAATAAAAAAAAAAATAAAAAATCCACTGTATTGTAAACACTTATTATAACTACTGCAGCTGCACCACATTTTAATGAATATTAAAAACTAGCTAAGATCGGACTGATAAAAATACGGGTCTTTGTAAGTCTATTCTAAACCAAACTTTTCTATACTTTTTCCTTATATATCCTAGCTTTCCGCATCTGTAAAATACAGGTCTTTACCAATTTACATATCTATTGTGAAATAATTTATTCTGAAAAAAAACTTTTAAGAGCAAAAAACTTAATATGCGCATCTTTTCTGCATACGTAGAGCTTATAAGAGATTTATAAGTTTAGGTTTGTTTTTCAGCTAAATGCATTTTATTGATAGCTCAGTGGTTAAGTCCGCTGTCATCAGTGTTGTTTAGGAGGGTTTAAGACCTCCTCTTAGCGTAATAAATTTTGAAATTTTTTTAATCTTGCTTATATATTTATAGCAAAAAAAAAATATATAGCGAAAAAAATTTCCAAAACATAAAATAAAATTTTAAGTTTTCTCATTTTATAGATATATTATACACGATTATTCCATATAATGCCTGCAAACTTAACATATGTAAAAGGTGTTTACACTTACAGACATTTGTACATAAGGCTATACAATTGGTCATAAGTTATATAAAAAAAGATCATTTGTATGATTATGATTAAAAACTAAAGAAAAATTAAACGCTAACCTAAATATTAATCCAAAAAAATTTTGTGTATTGACATCAGTTTGTGGCAAAATAAACCTTTATGCATCAAGATTCTCTTTGCATTTATCGTACATTTTGTATTAATTTTAATTATGTTGCAAAGAATTTCACAAAAAGGTATAAAACTGGTACAGATATATCATTTCACGGATTAGAGTTTGTATTTATTACAATAGTAATAAACAAATAGTTTTTGTCTTTATTAGAATATATCCCATAAAAATCCATATATCTTTAATAGAAGAAGTTTTCCTAAAAAATTCAAATAAAAATCTTATTTATAGTTTGTTTTTCTAGATGTTTTTTTTCACATACATCACATAAGCAAAAAAAATTGTGGCTTCAACAGTTTACTTAGAATCTATCTATGATTTAGTCTATCATTTTTAATGGTCTAAGAAGCAGATGACGTAAATTTAGCAATCAAAAATTATCAAGAGAGAGGCAAATCTAAAATAAAAGTTTCAAACTTTTCACTTTGATGTCAATATATTTTGTGTTTTTTTATTCTTGTCAATTTTTTTAAATATAAAAACATACCTACAAAAAATCAAAACAAGATAGCTTGAGCAAAAAGGACTTGTAATTATTAGAAAAGCTTACTTATATTAAATATGATCCTGAATAAAACGTTTTATAAGTGGAATTTTTACATTTTATAAACAATATACATAAACTAATAAAATATTTGTTTATATATATATATATATATATATATATATATATATATATATATATATATATATATATATATATATATATATATATATATATATATATATATATATATATATATATATATACTGACATGGCCATAAATAAGAGAACAATGATAAATTTTCTATTGTTTAATGATTCTTCATCATGTAAAGATAATTAGATAATAATATTACAGTTGTTAGATAATAATTGTTAGATAATAGTTGATAGAAATTAATTACAGTTGTTTTCAAACCTTATAACGTACTTTCAAACCTTATAACGCAGGGTCATGTTTTCCAATGAATCAACATTTTCCCAGTTTGCCCCTTACACTAGACATGTTAGAAGACCAGTCAATCAGCGCTACAATATCAGATATGCAGTCCCTACTGTAAAAAAGACTCTAACTACGATGGTTTGGGGCTGCTTTAGTGGAGCAGGCCAGGGCGGTATCTGGTTTATGCCGAAGAACACCACCATTAATGGAGCAGCGTATCTCAATATCCTTAAAAAAAAGCTACCTCAGCATATGGCTAGTAGCAACTGCACCACTTTCCAGCATGATGGAGCTCCCTGCCATCATACTGGAGCAGTTAGCCAGTGGCTAATGGGTTAACACACCAATGTTTTAGGACCTTGGCCTGGCTCCAGCCTGGACCTTAATCCAGTAGAAAATTTATAGATGATGATAAAGCGGAGAGTTGCTATGAAGAATCCTAGTTCCGAAAACACCCTTAAGAAAGTGATCATGAATGTTTGGACTCAAGAAATAACGCTGGAATATTGCCAAAAATTAGTTGATCCAATGCCTGAGAGGATAAGGGCTGTGATAGCCAACAAAGGGCAGCCCACCAAATATTGACTTTTGAGACAATCACGCCTTTAAGATGCTTTTTTACTAATAATTTAATCATATTTTATAATTAAAGCACAAACTAATTGTTATTGGTGTTAACTGCTTGTTATATTCAGGTTCTAAAAGCCATACTATAAAAAAATGCAGCGTTCTTATATTTATGGCCATGACTGTATATATATATATATATATATATATATATATATATATATATATATATATATATATATATATATATATATATATATATATATATATATATATATATATATATATATATATATATATATATATATATATATATTGTTTATATGGATGGTTAAGCGCAACAAAGTTGAGAAAAAAACTAATTTATATTAAAATTAAAAAATAATTTATATAATGTTTCTTTGCAAACACCTAACACTAAAAATAAAATCTTTAAGCACTGAACTGCAATTACTTTTAATTTTTTTGGTTTAGTGGCTTTTGTTAAAGCTTTTAAATATTGCGCCAAATTATCTCATTTGGACATATTCGTTGTATCATCTATACTGCAGCTGTTTTTCAAAACGCCTCAAGGTAAAAAAAATCAATTTCAACTTTTTTACAAAATAAGCTAATTTAGATGTCCAAAGAGTTCTGAAAAAATTCATAAAAATTATTCATTTCAAAAAACGTTTTACAAAAAGTTTCTTGAAAGATGTAATAAGCATATAAATGTGTTGTGAAAAACGACTGCAGCATATATTTATAGTAAAAAAATAAATATAGCAAAAAAAACTTTTAATTGTCAAAAGAAAGTTTTTTCTAGCTATGGGCTTTTTTTTTTTGCCTCCACAGCACCACCTTCTGGAGTAACAGGACTGTCTTATTTTTTTTTTCTTTAATAAGTTTTAGATAACTTTTTTTTCAGATTATCTGCAGCTTATTAAGAATAATTACCTGAGCACATTAATATCATCTCAATCATGGCACATACGCAACAAATCTTTTCTCCTGGTGTTTTGATGTTTTTAGAAATTTTAGCTTTTTAAAAATCTTTTTGTTTGTTAAAGTGTATAATATCATCATATATGTTTGTATATAATCTCTATAAAACTTCAAAAGTATTTTGTATTTTAAAATAATCGCAAAAAATTAAAAAAAAAGTCGCCAGTGGTAGGACTTGAACCATGGTTTACTTGTTCAGAAGCTCGATATGCTACCCACTCTGCCACGCTGCACACTTGTTATTCTAATTTATGCCAATTTTGTTTGGTGAACAGAAGCAATATTATATTTATTGTATTTTAAAATTGAGAATAATACCAGATAAATAACTTAAATCACCATCACTTAAACACATATCATTTTAATCACAGTGATATGGGTCTCACATCACTTTTACTAAGTCAATAAAAGATACAACAAATTTTATTATTGTTTGTTTTATTTATAATCAACAAACAAAAAGATTTCCATCAAAATTATTTTATTTGTACTGCAAGATATCTTGCATAAATTCAGTAAAAAGACTCTGTTTTTTGTTTATTTGTTATTTGTTTTTATTTATTTATCAAAATACTTCTGAATACTTAAATTTTTTTAGAAGTTATTGCAATTATGTTTGATTTATTATTGGTAACATAACTTACCAAAACATTCAAACACAAAAGAATATGTGCTATAGCACACCTGCTATGTTAAATAAAACTATAAAATGCTACAATTCTATATCAACTGTTTCCAACTTGTGGGTCACAACCCCCAAGTTGTCTGACAACTTTAAATTTAAGCGATATTCTGATTACAGTCATTACACAGAAGTGACAATATTATGCTTCATTCAACCAATAGAGAGTGCACTAAGAATTTCTGATTTGGCAAAAAAGAAGCAAGCACATCTTTTTCACAGGAAATAATATTGCCATAAAACAATTTTTATAACAATATTATTTTGTTATAAATATTGTATAATGCACATTGCACAATGCAGAATTAAAATACTGCAATTAATTTTAATTATTTTAAGTGTGAAATTTGCAGTGTACAATATACAACTAAGAGTCACATATAATCAAAGCTATATCACACACAGTTGAAACTTTCTGAGGCTTTGTAAAACAAAGTAAACATTTCTTTGCAAATACCAAAACATATAACAAATTGTTTTGATAATAAATTATAAAAAATAAATTATAAAAAAATTTGTAACAAAAAATGTCTTTAAAGTAAAAAATATAAATAAAATCAGAAATTTAGAAGTCAAAAAACATAATAGTTACCATAGTTACCTGCAAAAACATAATAGTTACCTGCAAAAATGTGATTTAGGAGGAACCTTATCAATTTTATTGTTAGGCAATTCGCAACAACTTGGCAAATGTTATCAAAGGGTCACACCATTAGAGTTTAGGAATTGCTACTCTATATATATAGTGAAAAATAATGCTCACCATGTGAAATAATACTTACTGTGTGTAATAATACCACTTTGCAAAAATAATTTCAGGAAAAACTGTGCCATCTTAGTTTTTTAAATAAATTTGAAAAAGAAAAAAAATTTACTTGTTTTATCAGCATGAACAGGAACATAATGAAGGTAGTTTACAGCTTTGTTTTTTGCCTAAACAGAAAAAAAACTTTAAAAAACATGAAGAATTTTTTTCCAGCTAATGCGGAAACAATTTTTTTCCAGCTAAGTGGAAACAATTCAAAATGACCACTGCAGCTTTAAAAAAGGGAGGTATTGACTTTAAAGAAGGGAGGCATTAACTTTAAGTAAGGGAGGTATTGACTTCTAACTAATCAAAGATCAACTAGAAAGATAAGCTTGAGGGTGCAAACAGACTAACAATTCATTTGTCTATTAATAAAGTCATAAGAAAAGAACAAGTTCTATTTGAACCAAATCCGACGGTAGCACCACACTAAACTTGTTTTTGCGTAGCAGTGTTGTTTATCAAGACTTTAAAATAATGAGATTAAAATCTTATTCCCAAAGATTAAGAATTTAAAATGTAACAACTTCACAAATCAAAAACAAAAACTACTTCAAACTACTTGGTTGACAAACAAATTACTATTCAAAAGACCAAAGTATTAAATGATATATAGAAGCATATTATTGAAACATTGTATATTGTATATTGAACTATTTGTATGTATACATATATATATATATATATATATATATATATATATATATATATATATATATATATATATATATATATATATATTTAGTAATTTGTAAGTTATTTCAGTATATATTACAAACAAATATAACGCAAATGAATCCTAAAATCAGAAATTTTATCAGTATTGAATTGATAAAAAGCTTATTTATTAAATTCAGCTAAAACCTTTTCTGTTATAACATCATCAGATGTTATAACAGAAAAAAATGACAAAAAATGTCTCATTAATTATTTAATTTTTATGACTTGTTTTATTAACTAAATTCAACAGTCATGTTTTTAAGCATGTTTTATTATTTTTTTATCAAGTGTATATTGTGAATGCAACATAAGTTTTGAGAACTACCAGGTTTGGTTCTACTTGGTCAAGTATATACCATTAATTTTATTTAAAATTAACTATACTAAACTATTACCCACTTAAAAAAGAAAAACTGAAATTTATGCATCCCGTGAATCACTCGCTAACAGACTTACTCAAACTTTAACTAAAAGTAATAAAAATTTGTACAATATTTTAAAGACTTATTATCTGAATAGTTTCTGTAATAAATTCAGTAATGTATTTTTCATAAATTATTTTCTATATACAATTTTATATTTTTATCCATTTTTTATGTAATAGTCAGCAAACTGCATCACATTTTATATCTATTTAGAATGCAATATTTTCTTAAAATTTTCTTCAAAAGAAAAAGTGTCATTGTTAGATGGAGAGAATTTTAAACATTGTAGTGTGAGGAAAAAGTTTTTTGAGCAATTAAGGACCAGTTAATGGTTAACAATAAGTTATGCAAGATTGAGTTTTGGTTGATAGAACAAGTGATGTATACTTGAGTAGCAACCATAATAGTAAAGGAACAACACATGGCCAAAGATAGAACCTTGTAATGTCTTACCCCAGACATTAAAAATTATAGAAAATGTTGTCCATCAAGAACAACTTCAACAATGTGGTTAGAAAAGTTCAATAACATTTTAAAACTTTCCTAGTTACATCATATAAAGTAAGCTTATGGAGAACACCAGCGTGTCAGACTTTTTTGAAAATAATCTAGAGCAATTACCTTATCGCTTTCTTCTAATGCTTGATACTGTTGACTTGTTAACAATTATAACATTTTTATAACGTGTCAGGTGTAGATGTTTGTTTTCCAGTGAGTTGATTTTGCAGAAAAAAAGTTGCTCAAGAAGATGAAAAAAAACATGAGGTAGAGTAAGACTAAACTTGAAACAAAATAAAAGCTAACATGCCTTGATGAATCAGGAGATAATAATGGAGACACTTTTGCAGAAACAAAAGACATTAGCTCATATATCATCACAATTGTAAGAAGTTTAATGATTGGGTTAATGTAGAAAAAGTATGAAATAAAAGTTAGAACATGATCTGAATCACCCCAAGGAAAATAACTTGAAACTGAGCACAAGCTAGAATCAGAGAGACAAATCTTTGACAAAAACTTTAAGCTGATATTATTGAGCCAGCAAGTCAATGTTAAAAGAGATTCAGTGTGTTAAGAGCACTAGTTTTAATCTTTTTTAAGATTTTTTTAATCTTTTTAACTTAAAAAAATAAGACAAATAAGAATTTTTGGAGTACTTTGGAACAGTCACAGTAAAAGGATTAGACTTAATTGAATGACAAGTAATAGGTGAATGAACTTTATGAGATGGCACAAAAGACACCAGCTCTTTAGAGCAGTGCCCATTATAGTATTTATAGAAAAGAGAAAGAGAAGTAACATTACAAAGATGTGATAATGGTTGAAGGTTGGCTGCAAGAGCAGGTCCAACTGTGTTTACAATGCGTTTTTGTACCATGTCTAAAAGAGAAAGAGCACCATTGGAAGATCCTCCCCAGATATTGCAACAGTATTCCATACAAGGAGGGATTTGATATTTATAGAGATTAAAGAATAGAATCCTGAGTAAGAAAGTGGCGAGCACAATAAAGAGATGATTGATGATTTGATTTGATGAATTAATTTGATATATGATTTCTCAGAAACCATATATCAAATCAATTGCAAAATTAGCAGAGGCTAATTTTGAGAAAAGGTTTTTGAGAAAGATCAGAGGTAAGAGTTAATCCTAGAAGATGATTGGTAGATCATCAAGCACATGACCAATCATAAATATAGGAAGATCTTGATTATTGCGTCAACAATTCTTTACTACTTTAAACCTACTAGTTCTATCTAAAATCTATGCATTAATAAATAAATCAAGAATTTAAAAAGAAAAAAACATAGTTTAGGGTGCAGAGGGTATGAACACAAAATTAAGAACACAAAATTGAATAATGAATACAAATTAGTCAATAAAAAAAATTAAAAAACAAATTACAAAATCTACACATGATTATGATATAAATTTAGCAAAAGATGTAAAACATAATCCAAAACGTTTTTTTGCATACACACAAATATTTATTTTGCGAATTCTAGATGTGGTCTAACCAGGGATGTGTAAATCTGCCATTAATGCACTTTGTATAAAATTTATAGTTTAATAGTTATTTTTAAAAGAGAAAATATTTTTGTATAAAAAAAAAATCTATACAACATGAAATTAAATTTTAATGTAAAATATGCTAAATAATCTTATAATAAATAATACTTTAAATTTTTTAAACTTTTTATATGAAAACTTTCATATTTAATTATTACTTATGTACCATTTAAGTGTGGAAATAAGTAAAGCTATTTTTATAACAGATATGTACTTAGTATCATTTGCATATTATTTTACAATTGAAGAGATACATTCAGGAAAATCATTGATATATAACAAAAAGAGAAGAGTACCTAATACTGAACCCTGTGGTATGACTTGTGGTACACCACTACAAGTCTCGCACCAATATGATATAACTTCACCCATTACCACTCTTTGTTTTCTTTTCTTTTTTTAAAAAAAGTCTTAATCCAATTTAAAACATTACTTTTAAAAATTTATTTAAAAGCTTGAAAACAATTTGAACCCACTAGTTCTATCCAAAATCATTAATAAACAAAATAAGTATTATCTAGTATCTTAGTTATAAAAAAAACATAGTTTATGGTGCAGAGTGCGTGCTATTTAATACTCTTAAACTTTACAGCTGTTCAAAGAATCAGCCTCTCTGAGAACTACCACAGAGTTTAGGAAACCTTACTACCAGTCTTACTACCTTACTACCTCAGAACCATTAAACTTTTAGAGCTTTTCCCTTGTTAAAAGATCACAGAAAGAGTTAAATAACCACTACTAAAGAACAAAAACCTATAAGTCAAAAATATTTAGCAATTTAGAAATATTTATTTCTTAAAATAAAATAAATAGCAATTCAGAAATATTTATTTCTTCATACTTGGCAGAAAAAAATGAAACACAACTTTACATATACCTCAACCTAATAGATAAAGGAGTATGGGCAAATATTATCTGCTTAAACCTAATGTCTAAAGTCATTTTTGGGTGCCTTTAATTTGAATATTTTAAATAGCCAAACTGACAAGAAATGAAAAGCAGGAGCTCTGTGTGTCTTCAATATTAAAGTTTACCTAATGTCTTGAACAGCATTTAAAAAGATTAAAACGAGATCAAATTCTTAGATAAAAACCCAAGGATTTAAAAAGATCAAATAAACCATGAGTCAGCTAGAAGATTGGAGCAAAATATTTAAGTCACTAATAAAAGTGCAGAGAATAGAGTGACTTATTTAAGAAAATAATAAGATCATAATAGGTGATAAAGGTCAGCTTTTGTTGTATTTGAGAATAGGTGCCCTTTTCATAATTGTAATAGTGCACACAATAACTTAACAAGAATTCATGAACACACATTTTTTGTTGAATATTTCATTATATTTAATAATAATTTGATTTGATAATAATAATAATTAAAGGTTCTTTTTTTTTTTTTTTTTTAATTAACACTAAATTATTGTAGATAAAAGATTAATTTTATCTTATCAAGAAATAATAATATAATCAGCTGTGGAATCAGAAATAGAAATATAAGCAGCAACCTTGTAACCAAGCAACCTTGTTTATTATTTATATAGAAAAATATATAAACAACAACCACATTTCTATTTCAAACTTTTAGGGTTAGGAACTATTTTTATGTTTTAATCAAGGCATAAAAAAGAATTAATATATTGAATAAAAATTACCTTTCGTATTGCTGATGCAGCAAAAGATGCTTTACCAATTGCCCATCCTATGATTTAAAAAAAACAACAACAAAATTGTTTCAATTATAATTATTTAATTATACCATAAATTTAATAATACTAAAATGCAAAACACTTAAGAGTCTAATAGAATATTCTACATAAAAAGAGAGAATCTAATTAACTACTTTACATAAAAAAACATAAAATCATATAGAATGTTCTAAATAAAAAGATGGAGTCTAATTAAATACCCTACATATAAAAAAAGATAAAATCGTATAGAATGTTCTACATAAAAAGATGGAGTCTTATAAACTACTTTACATAAAAAAGATAAAATCATATACAATATTCTACATAAAAATGCATAAATAAAAAGTTGAATGTAAGAAAAGGTTGTAACAGAATGTAACAAAATGTAACATATAAAACAATAAGCAATATTAAGCGACATATAAAACAATAAACAATATTAAGTGACATATAACACATATTAAGTGACATAAATATTAAATTAGGCCATATTAAGTGACATAAAAATATAAATATATGTTTTCAATTACGTTTTCATGTTGACAGCAAATGATAACTTGCAAAAATCATTTCTTACTGGTAAAATAAAAACATAATAAATCAAAGAAAACTACTAATAAAAACAAAAAAATCAAAGAACTAACCAATTGCTCCTTTTCCATTACCAACTACAACTATAGCACTTGTCCTTTTTCGTTTTCCATTTCCACGAGTTACTGAAACCTTTTTAACCTATTAAATTTTAAGATTATTTATTAGAATCATGATTTTAAGATTATCTTTAGAGATGGCATCCTCAACTACAATCATGCCATCATTTTCTTGCGCAACATTAGATCTCAAACTTAATAATTTTAAAGTTCAACTCTTAGTTCAATGTTATTATTACAATGTTATTACATATAAAAAAACATTAATGTTTTTTTCTTTTTTAGAATTTATTAAATATTAAATATAATTTACAAATTTAACATCTTCTTTTATATATGCCAAAATTTTAAATAAATAAATTTATTAAAATTAAGTTACTATATAAAACTTTTTTCATTTTTGTCATTTTTTTTTAATACTAATTTTTAATATTAAAAAAAAGGTAAATTTTATTAAAATTTGTGATATACCTCAATCACTATAGATTTGAAATCTTCAATAGGTTCTATTAATAAAAACTTGAAATCATTAGAATAAAACAACTATATAACTTTTAATAAATGAGGTGAATTTTTTAATTCCAAGATTTAATACAAAACAATTTTATATTTGAAACTTATTAAAACCTTTATTAGGAGTTTCTGGTGAACCAGCATATCTTCCAGGCCATGACGTCCCACTCCAACCTCTGAGAGAAGCATCAAATTTAGCATGCTTAATTCTATCTGACTTTGGAAAAGTACTTTTTTTTTCTGATCTTTCTCTGTCTTTAATGGGCAAAGGTGCATTTAAACCTGGAAACTGCATGTTAGCTTTTCCTGTTAAAAAAAAAATACTAAATGTATGTGTGTGTGTCTATATATATATATATATATATATATATATATATATATATATATATATATATATATATATATATATATATATATATATATATATATATATTTTATGGGCCAGAGCCTAAAAATGACTTTAAAAAAAAAAAAAAAAAGGTCCTCTACAATTTTTGGGGGCCCCTAAACTTGCGAGGCTCGGAATTATATATATATATATATCCACTGATTTTTTGTGCTTTTTTTGTGTAATGAAAACTAAAATTTTTTCCAGCTCAATATTTAACATTTTTTATTACATTTTACATATTAGATTTACATAAAAATCTATAATATTTATATTGATTTTTATGTAAATTTTATATTTTAAAAGTTTCCTAATCTCTTAAGCTTTTAAGATTTAAAGTATGTAATATATGTATATATATATATATATATATATATATATATATATATATATATATATATATAATATACAGTGGCGGATTAAGACTTCTTGGGGCCCGGGGCTATTTTTGCTTTTAGAGGCTTTTTTATGGGCCAGAGCCTAAAAATGACTTTAAAAAAAAAAAAAAAAGGTCCTCTACAATTTTTGGGGGCCCCTAAATTTGCGAGGCTCGGAACTATAGTCCCCCCTAGCCCCCACTTGATCCGGCACTGCATATATATATATATATATATATATATATATATATATATATATATATATATATATATATATATATATATATGGGAAAGTGAAATAGTATCAAAAATTAACTGATCGAAAAAATTATTAGTATCGAAAAATAACTGACCGAAAATTTTAATGATTAAGATCGAAAATGTGATTCTCAGATTAATATCGAAAAGTTTTTATATCGAATTTCACAAATGTGAAACAATGTCGAAAACAATAAAAACGGAATAAGATCGAAAAATTATTTAACTGATTAACATCAAAAATGTGTTTTTCTGATTAATACCGAAAAGTTTTTATATCGAATTTCACAAATGTAGAACAAAATCGAAAACAATAAAAAAGAAATAAGATGGAAAACTCATTTTAATGATTAACATAGAAAATGTGATTTTCTGATTAATGTCGAAAACAATAAAAACGGAATAAGATCGAAAACTCATTTTAATGATTAACATCAAAAACGTGATTTTCCGATTAAAGTCGAAAACAATAAAAACAGAACAAGATTGAAAACTCATTTTAATGAATAACATCAAAAATGTGATTTTGATTTTATTCCTTTTTTCACAGTTTCGATATAATTCCGGAAATTGCCGTTTTGATATTGTTCCTTTTTTCACAATTTCAATGTAATTCCGTTTTTTGAATTTTCGGTACTATTTCTTTATTCACAATTTCGATATTATTGCGATAAGTCCCTTTTCAATATTTTTTTCTTTTGAGCTGTTTCGAAATTATTTTGCTTTTCGGATTTTAGATACTATTCCTATTTTAACAATTTCGATATATTCTCTTTTTCGATATTATTCCGAAAAGTCTCTTTTTGATATTATTCACAATTTCGAGATTATTCTATTTTTCGGATTTTCGATACAACTCCTTTTTTTACAATTTCGATGTTATTCTCTATTTCGATGATATTCCGGTAATTTCCTTTTTGAGATTAATCAGTTTGGCTGTTTTTGATACTGTTACTACTACCCATATATATATATATATATATATATATATATATATATATATATATATATATATATATATATATATATATATATATATATATATATATATATATTATAAGAAAGCAAATTGTAAGTTAAGTAAGAACAAGTACCATTAAATAACACTATGAATAAAGTTGTTATCAGTTTTATGCAACCAAAGCAACATTTCAAAAGAAAATTAGTTTTTTTAAATATTTTTTTTAAAACCACTTTATTAGTGCTGATAAATATTTCTCCTTACCAAACTTTATAAATTCTCCATCAATAGCTTTGGCAGCAGTTCTTTTCTTTCCCCCTCTTTTTCCTTTCCCACTGCTGACTGCTTGCCATAACTTGTCATATTCACCTGAATAAAAAAATTGTCATATTTACCTAAATAAAAAAATTGTCATATTCACCTGAATAAAAAAATTGTCATATTTACCTAAATAAAAAAATTGTCATATTTACCTAAATAAAAAAATTGTCAAATCCACCTGAATAAACAAATTATTTAGCATTTATTAAAAAACATTTTTGTTTTTTCAAGATTTTTATTTAATCAGGCCATTAGACTTTTTCTGAATTTAAAAATTACAAACAACAACAATTTGATTATGAAATTATATATTTTTTGAGCAAAATAAATTAAAATAATTTTTAAAAACAAACAATTACATTTGTAATATTGTTATAACATCAATTTATTTAAATTTTTGATTATTTTTATATTTAAAGCTTCTTTAAATAAAATTTTTGAATTTAAAAAAGATTTTAAAGCAACAGAATAAATAAACTAGAATCTTTAGACTTATGACCAATGCTGTTTACAATTTAAAACAACAGAACTTGTTTACAATTTAAAACAACAGAACTTGTTTACAATTTAAAACAACAGAATTTGTTAAACAAATATCAAGTTATATAAACTAATTAGAATCTTTAGACTTGTGACAAATGCTGTTTACAATAGAACCAAAATCAACTTAATATAAATTTTAAAATTTTTTTTTTAACAATTTCCCACGTGAACAATTAAATATAAATAATCACCCTATGGCATTAATGGGAAGTTGTTAGCTTGAATACAGCATTTATAATCAGTAAAATACAATGAGTAATTTTATTTTATTTTAGTTTGATTCACTCCCAACAAGGTTGAAAGCAACCACTATTAATTTGGGAGTTACTATTAAAAAAAAAAAAAGAATAGAGTTATAGAGCAGTTCACAGAAGACTGAAAATTTGTAGGTTGAGTCAGGAAAACATGAAGATGGGAGAGAGTTCTCAAGGGTTGAAGTGCAGTGAAAAAAACTAAAGGCATAAAAGTGTTTAGAGCATGAAGGGACAGATACAGTAAAAAAATGAGATTTTGCTGAATGACAAGTCAAACGAAAATAAGTTGTAGTTGATGGAAATAGAAATTATAGCTGCTTTGAGCAGCGACCTTGATAGTATTTGTAAAAAAGAAGAAAAAGATGCAACTTTACAATGATGGGATAAAAGCTCAAGCTTGGCAGATAGAATAAGAGATTTGAGGTAGAAAATGGTATCAGGAGTAAGAAAATAGTGAGCACCATAAAGAGAGGTAATCTTAGCAGACGCTAATTTAGCAATCAATTGTATATATGGTTACCATAAAAGATCAGTAGAAAACAATAATCCAAGAAGGTATAAAGAAGAGGACTCGTTGAGAAGGAAGAAAGAAGAAGCCATTCAATAATATAGGAATGTCAGCAGTGTTACAATAATTGTTTGCAGTAAATAACTGAGTTTTGTTGGAGTTAAAATTTACAAGCCACAGTAAGCCCCAATCTGTTACAGAAGTGAGATCAGATTCAAGATCTATGCGATCGAAAAAAGAAGACTTTTTGTCATGCCTGTGATTGTCATGCCTCAAATGCTTGAGAGAAATTATACTTTCATTAGAAAAATCATAGAAAGCCACGTGACATTTAAGATTTTTAACTATATTATATCATTGAGTCAAATGAAAATCTCTGCATTAAAAGCTTATTCTGCACAGATTGTTTTCAACTAGTTGGAAAGGGCATTAAGCACCCATGCACGAGAACATTAGCTGTTCAAAATGCTAAGAATCTTATTCTTTCCAAGGATGAAAAGATGTCAGAGCAAATAACCTCAATTTTTTTAAAGTTTTTAGTTAAGGATGAAAATTCGTTACAATTATCCACTGGTAGATTTTTATTTATATACTGACTCATCTTCTGACTGCAATACTAATTTTTGCATTATTTTATTTTAATTTTAGGAGGATCACTTCTACCAGTAGTTCTAAAACCAAAGCTCCAAACAAATAAAGTAACCTCTACTGATACAATTTTTGACATCAAGAAAAATAATGATCTGCCTGAAAATGTTGTTCGTGATATTCTTAGAGATTTACAAAAAGATTTTGGTTGTCTAGATGTCTAAATATTTTATAACATAATTTAATTTTTAATTAGTATATTAATTTTTTTTTTCAAAAAATCTATAATATTTAATATCTCACATTGTTTACAGTATGATATTTCACAATTAAGTGTTCAAAAGAACTCAATTGCTACGGTTATGAAGCGGTCTCATGCTCTAGATAAGTTTTACAGTTACAAAAAAATTGTTTTTTTAAATGGAAAGGAAGATGAACTTGAAAACTTAGTGTTGAAAGATCTTTTATGCATTAAAAATGTCACGAGACTTGTTCAAGAAATTTTCTCTCTACATGGATTAAATCCTATGAAAGCCATTGTTAGAGTTGGAATTGACGGAGGACAGGATTCACTGAAGGTTTAGTAACTGAACCTACTTTATATTACGCAAATAAAAGAAATAAAATTAGAATTATTATTAAATTGTGATTAATTTTCAGATTATAATGAATATTTTTGATGAAACAAAGTTAGAGGAGCGAAGTAGAGATGAGAAAGACTCAGGAGCGAACAAGGTGATAATTTTGGCTTTGGCAGGTAACGTCAAAAAGAATAACCATAATCTTGGAATACTTAATAAATTAATTAATCTAAATCAGCTCAAAATTTAGGTGGCTTCTGACCTAAAGCTCATAAACATACTTCTTGGCATACCAATAAGAGATTTTGCTTAATTTTATTAATTTTTACAATTAAATAATAAATTACAGAATAATAATAGCTACATTAAATCTCAGAATAATAAAATAATTTATTTTAGAGTCATGGTGGAAAACACGCTTGTTGTTACTGTACTGGTACAATAAGCTCATCAGTTGATCTTGGTACTATTGATCTTGGTACCAAGATGCAGGATATCCTTGATCAACAAACTCCTCACAACAGGATATCCTTTGATCAACAAATCCTTTGATCAACAAATGCAGGATATCCTTTGATCAACAAAATTGATGCAGGATATCCTTTGATCAACAAATTCCTCACATCTCATCTTGAGTCAAATAAACTGCTGTCAGACAATCAATACGGTTTTCGATCCTCTCGCTCTGCGGCCGACTTGCTGACTGCTGTAGCTGGGGGGTTTTATCGTGCATTAGATGGAGGCGGTGAGGCTAGGGCTATTGCTCTCGACATATCTAAAGCTTTCGACAAAGTTTGGCATGCTGGTCTTCTCCATAAGCTTGCTTCATATGGTGTTTCTGGGAAAGTTTTTGAGATTATCAAATCATTTCTTTCTAACCGGTTTATTAAAGTCATCCTTGAAGGCCAACACTCTTCTTTATTTCCAGTAACTTCTGGGGTTCCCCAAGGTTCCATCCTGGGCCCTGTTTTGTTTCTTATCTACATAAACGATCTTCCTGACAACCTTTCATCTAAAGTAGCTCTTTTTGCTGATGACTCAACTTTATACTCCTGTCTTGACAAAAAGTCTTCTCTTTTCGATCGCCTAGAACAAGCAGCTGATCTTGAATCTGATCTCACTTCAGTAATAGATTGGGGTTCACAGTGGCTTGTGAATTTCAACTCTAAAAAAACCCAATTGCTTACTGCAAACAACTACCGTAATATGGTCAACATTCCTATATTAATGAATGACAATCCTCTTACTGAGTCCTCCTCTTTACGTCTTCTTGGATTATCGCTTACTACTGACCTTTCATGGAAACCATATATACAATCGATTGCTAAATTAGCTTCTGCTAAGGTTGCTTCTCTTTATCGTGCTCGCCATTTCCTTACTTCTGATTCCATTCTCTACCTCTACAAATCTCTTATTCGTCCCTGTATGGAATACTGTTGTCATATTTGGGCTGGTTCTTCTAACGATTTACTTTCTCTTCTTGACAAGGTCCAAAAACGCATTGTAAATGTTGTTGGACCTGGACTATCTGCTAAGCTTGAACCTCTTTCCCATCGTCGTAAAGTTGCATCTCTTTCTCTTTTCTACAGATACTATCATGGTCACTGCTCAAAGGAGTTATCATCTCTAGTTCCATCAACTAAAATTCATTCAAGTCTCATTCGTTTACTGTATCTGTCCCTGCATGCTCTAAAAACTTTTATTCATCTAGTTTTTTTTCCCGCACTTTAATCCTTTGGAACTCTCTCCCATCTTCATGTTTTCTTGACTCATACAACCTTCAACTTTTCAAGTCTTCTGTCAACCGTTTCCTTGCTCTATAACTCTGTTCTTTTTTTTTTCCTAGTAACTCCCAACTTAATAGTGGTTGCTTGCAGCCTTGTTGGGAGTGAATGCAAATAAAAAAAAAAAATAAGACTATGTAACTATTAAATAATGTTATTAAACTATGTTTGCTTGGGGAACTTCACATGTATGAGCGTGTTGTGACAAAAATTGTTGACGTACTTATTGTCAATGAGGGTCTGAAATCCTTTTTCGAAAGATACTGTACCAGATGAAGAGAAATTGTTTTTACGAAGAAATCATCACATCATTAAAGGTATTATTATATATTAAATTAACCACATTTTGAAGACAAAGATAAATGATGGTAATGAGGGTTTCTATGATTTTTGTGATGAGATATGAAGATGAAGGAATGCTTTCGATTTTATTTTTAACACATTCCAGCTTGTACATATACATATTAATAGAAAAAGAAAAAAAAAGCCTCATGACTTTTGAAATTCAACCTAGAACCCTTAGAATCAAGCAGTGCAATGTGGTGCAGCTGTTTGTTTTATATTTAGCATATATATAATTAAAGTGGTTTATTGAAAATATTTGTTTTACAAATATTTTCAATAAACCACTTTACTGTCGTAATGTTGCTTCTCTTTCTCTTTTCTATAAATATTATAATGGGCACTGCTCTAAAGAGCTAGCATCTTTAGTGCTATCTACTAAAATTCATTCTCGTGTTACTTGGGTTATTCCATATCAAATCACCTAAAGGCTACCAGGGTACCACCT